CAATATCATAAGCAAAAACAACAAGAGTAATAGCGAGGTCATCACATCATCACATCTCATGCGCTATAACCAAATATCAAATAACTACAATAATAATGATGTGTATAACACCAACATCAAGAACAACAACAACAACATCAACATCAACAACAATAACAACTACAACTACTACAACAACATTAACGACAAACATCAACAATAATATCAACAACAATGAAAACAGCAAACTGCTGCTCATTTGCATATTTACTCGTACCACATTTTCAATTCATATTCAATTGAATTGCATTGAATGGAATTGAACGGAATCGAAATCGAAATCAGAATCGGAATCGGCTCAATGCGATTCGATTCGATTCGATACGATACGATACTCGCACGTTGCCATGATATCGCACCAAAATTTCATATGATAATAAGTAACTGTGATAAGTAATGATATATAAACATGGCTACAACCATATAAACATACATTTCGGATAACGATACATATACTACACATATTATACTATTAATATATTGGAGCACTTTTGTGTTGAAGCTTTAAAAAATGCTTTTTTTTTTATTCACATATTTTTTTGGTAACTTTTTAGTAGATTTGTGGGCGTTTGAGCGCCAACGAACCTCATTAATTCAAATGATACAATGGCATTTATTGTTGTGTAGTTGTTGTTTTTGTGAGTGTGTGTGTATGATTGTACGTGTTTGTTTGTGGCTGTTGCATTGTCGTGTTGTTGCTGTTGCTATTGCTATTGTTGTTGTTGTTGCTGTTGATGATGTTGTAGTAGTTGTAGTTGTTGTTGATGTTGCCTATTATTATTTGTATGGGCGTGCGATAAAATTCATGGGTGTTTTGACATTAAAAATGGAAACAAAACTATTGACACTTTAAATTTTATTGCAATTATATTTTAAAGCTGCCACAGTTCATAGATTTTCAGTTATTAAATGGCAATAAATTTTTCTCCATAAAAATAAATTTTATTATATTATATATTTAAATTTTTGTAATTGTCTTATGAATACATTTTTATGGAGCGATTCATTTCTTTATGTTAATGGAAGTGAATGTATTTAGTAACGGTAATTTCAGTATATAATATATTTAAACAGTTTTTTTTTAATATTGAACAAATTAAATTTAAGTAAAAAATAATTATTTAAACAAAACATCAAAAATAATACTACAAAGTAATAAAATTTTTATAGAGGTAAAATAATGTTTATTATATTATTTATAGATCTTTTAAACAGCATCAAAGCATTAGCAAAATTTCTATCCACTAAATGCATTGAACTGTGCGAAAACTGTTATAAAAACTAATTTTAATTTATAATTTTACTTATGTGACCCATTGCCCAATATTTATATCAGCTGATACGAGATCTATCCTATATTTAAGTCAAGAAACCAAAATTCTATTGGTGCCTATATATCCCCCTTACTTTCACTACGACATGAATAATCGAATGCATTGTTTTCCATTAGGTAAAATGGATCAGCTGAGTTCATATAGCAAAACTGAAAAAAAAGTACAAAAAAATGGAAAATTTAAATTTAAGCCATACTTGCAATCAAGAAAAATTAGCTCGACACATTTCAATAGACTATTAGCTTTTATTTCGGACTTCGAGTTTTAAAATGCATTTTATTTTCGTAAAACATATACTAATAGTTGACCCACGAACGTAATCTAGATACTGGCCAGAAGAACCTTAAAATTAATTAGAATTATAATTTTTTATTCTATATCTAGTAACATAGTAAAAGAACTTGAAATGCAAATTTCGTTCTGTGATCTTAAAAATATAAAATTATCGATCGAAAAAAGAATTGGTAATCAAAAACGAGAATTATCACTGAAATCGGCAAAATATAATTTAATCCTTGACAGTGCATGTTCCACAGCTTGTAGATCCTCTCACAAACGATCTCTCAATGAAGACAGTTCAACATCGTTAGGTGCTATAACAATATCAAATTGTATTTCAGTGTTTTTTTTTTTTTAAAGTGTATGTAGTTCAAAAGATATGTGAAATATATCTATAACCATATGTACAGTTCATGTATGAACTATTATTCTAAGAACGCTCTGTGTGGGTATTATCTATTTAACGTTAAATTTAAGCTACTCTACTAATAAGGACTTTCCCTTTATTCATCAACGCATAGGTGGTCAACCCAATCTAGTCGACTGTAAGCTTAATTACAGAGGCAAAACCAACAGCCATCACCAATCTAATCGAGTTCTTCACCTTACCACTAACGTAGAAAGTCCGGATGAGTACTTATATTTGGCGTAGCCATAATAGTCCTTCAAATATTCTGCATACCAAGGAAGTTCCTAATGAGCTTATAAAGATCTTTACCATAGGTCATCTTATTCCCTTCCTCTCTATTGCAACGAAATTGATCACTCTCGTTACACAATTCCGTTGTACAATCGCGGAAATAACTACCCGCTACATTGAGTACACTCTTAAAGATTTTTTAAACTTTTGTAAACAATAATTAAAGTATACTAACTAACCTACATAATACTATATATATACTATGTATATACAATGTATATTCTATATATATATATACTATATTTATATATATACGTATATGTGGTAATAATCTTCCCAGTACGTTTTCACTCCTAGTTTAGTTAAATTTGAAAGTTCAAATACAAAGCTTTTTATCTTTCAACTTCCGATTACTAGAATGAGAAGTTTAGATGGCTGTGATGTTTTGAATTAGTTTCCAGAGGGGTAGATTTCAGTGAGTCTCAAGTATCACATTAAGATTTTTCACCAACAAGAAAAAAAAAATAGTAGATTGGTTTTCTATTATTTAAAGCAATATTTTTCAAAATTCCTTATTATAAATTCGTTTTTATAAATTGAACAATAACTTTATAGGTGTTGTAAGATCAAGCATTATATATAAAAACTTTTTCTTCTATTTCCTCTAAAAATATTTCTTTTGATATAAATTCTAAATAAACAATTGTTTTGTGCATATATAAATATGTATATTAAAAAAAATCCATGACTTAAATTGTCGTTATATTAAGTAACTCAATTTAATTAACTTCATTTAAAATTTAATTTGCCGTCGCTAAAACTATTTCCACTATTTTCTCTATTAATAGGAACAATAGAACAATCCATCGCAATGGCATTTATTGCTAGTTGACTTTCCGTAGCAAAAACTGACTTCCATTTATTGTCAAGTATCAAAAGCAACTGAAAAAGCCGCAGGCAATAAACTCAGAATTTTCAAAACAGCTGTTCTGAATATAAAAAAAATGGTAAGTGCTCTAATAATTTCTTGCAATATTCTCAGTATTTACTAATGCACTTTCGCATTTAAACACCCTGTTTCAATAAACACACAGCAGGGGAAATAAGAAACGACTTCACGCACACTTCTTTAGATTTGTGTCGGAGTGAAAATGGAACTCCGCCTTACTTTGAGTACAACTACACAGCAATGGTTGTTTGCGAGTATAAAAAGATGAGCAACGTTGAGTGTAAAAATTAAGTTTGAGCTGAAAATAATTTTGAGAGTTTTTATGGAACGCAGTCGCATGCCAGCACAAAAAATGAGAAGCAAAAAAAATTGTAAGTAAAAACTAAAAATGGTTGACAATTTCGAAAATTTAAAGTAACTTTAAGATACTTTAAAGCTTTAGCATTTTAAAGGTGTTCACCTTTTTTCTTGGCCATTTTAAATTTCTCAATTTTAGATAGAGTCGATAGGAAGGAACTGAAATTCTTGCAGTTTATTTGAGTTTTGATATTTTGATTTGAGGTGCGAACTCTCAACACCAACAAATACACACAACAAACAAAAGTATCTCAATGTATGTTTTTTGATGGCATTTTGACGTGAAGGCCTTATTCCTCTGTTCTTTTTTTTTTTGTGCGGACTTCAAGCCGCAATTGGAATTCGCACATTTTTGTTTGGAAAAATTTTTATGCATGTCAAGCATTGAGGATTATGAACTCTTCGAAGTGCTCAACGAAATTGCAGTCAATTTGGATGCTGAAGCACAATCCACAGCATCGAGAGGAGACACGTTTAAGTGGCAGCAGGCGAAGGCAGTGTGAGGCCATGCACTGCATTGAATGACTATTCAGGAAAATTGTCAGTTCCAAGTTGGGTGATTATGGGATTAGTTGCAGTTTTTCCTTTAAAGTTATATATCGCAAAAGGCTTTAGTGTTATATGAGAGGAAAATTAAAGAGGAACTTAGTTTTCTTTGATGAATCTATTGAAATTATAAAACAAATTACATATGTTATTAGATTTTCAGTGTCCAGTATAATTAAATAAATATAAGACATTAGCTTAAATCAATATAATCAATTAATTAAATATCGAAAAGCAACAATTTTTAAAATTAATTCATGATATTAAACCCATTCAACTGTATAAAGAGGTTATCTAACCAATACGTTGATTATATGCTTCGTGTTCATTTTGGACCATGTCTATCTTTAGTTCTGATAGAACTATCTTTTCATCTGTCCAAGTTTTTTTAACTATATACATTTATTTTTGTTTCATTGTCAGTTTGGCTATTTCAAGTGGAATACTACAATCTGAAAAATTAACGCCAGATATCAAAGTGTCTACCTTTAGAAGTTCATCTACTCTGCAGTTACTCTAAATGTTCCTAAGTACAGGTACCCATATTAGTTGGACATAGACACGCTCAACCAACTTGTTAATAAAAATCCGTCTTTTTCAACAATATTTAATAAAACAAATAACTATTTATGCTACTTTTTGATTAAACCTTTTAAATACTCGTCATCAAACTATTGTTCTATAGGTTCCATAGCTATGGGTTCCATACTTTTTAAATCTACATGCATGACTACAAATCAATGAGATCTTAGCAACATTTGATTTAACTAGTTTCAACTTTTTTTTTTATTAGATTATATTCAAAATTTAAAAGTTAGAAAAAATTTATCTGTCAGATAAATATGTTGAATTGTTTTTTTGTTTCTGAATTATTGTTCAAAATCTAATAAATGCATTTACAATAATTGGACATTATTTGGAAATAAAGTCAACGGCTATTCAGTGGTAAGTAATGTTATATATGTTATTTATTAAACTAGTGATAGTAGTGAGAAAGTTTTAAAAGTTTTTAAAGAGAGGTACTTTTGGACTGACTATACATCTGTTTCGAATATTGCCAAATATGTGGCGTCAGTAGTCTCAGAAGATATATGTTGTTTTAATTATCCGTATAAAATTAGTGCACTCTGTCAGGTATTGAATCCTTTTTATGGTTCTATGGACCCAAGAGTCTTTTAACTGTGGACCCGTGAGCTAGCAGACAAAGCTAACTTACACTTTATATGCGTTATTTAAATTTATAGTTTTATTAATTTTTTTTTTTTTTGTTGATAAACAAACACATTAACCACAGCTAAACAAATTATCTGAATCCTTACAAATGATTGGTTTTTCAAATTTCAAAACTATTGTTAGCGGAAGATGGTTCTGTATATTTTCTTCAGATCACTTGCGATCAGGTTTACGAGGGGGAGATGGAAAGGACATTTGTTCAAACTTCCTAATCAAATAACTAAATTCTAATTGAGAATTTTTGGTATATTTATTATCAAAAACTATTGACGATGGATATATCGCGATATCAGAAATAATTGTATGTTAAACCCAAATATTTAAATCACTTAAACATTTTTTTGGATTTGAAAATTTTCTAACTAGTTAGACCCTTTTCTATTGGATATGGATTTTTTATTATACGACATGAAAATCTTATATTTATATAGTTTTTGATATAATGTCCATAAAGTTGTCTTTGATTTGCACGTGATTTGAAAGATCATGATGTTCCAAGAAATCAACTTAGGCCCATTGTACTACAGTATAAAATCTCAGAGGTTTAAAAACTTACTTGTACCTACCGCAAAGCTTAAAATGCTTCTTAAGGAGAGGTCTGGGACCTGTATAGATTTTCAATAAAACGTAAATAAAACCCAATAAAAAATCATATATAGTATTTTAATAACATTCAACAGAACTCAAATTGCTTAAGACTTTGTGTAATGATGATATAGACACCTTATAAAGCTACACATATTACCTCAGCCTAATTTGAAATTTCTAGTTCATCTAGATTTTACTTTATACAATTGAATATATAAAATTAAAAAAAAAATTTTCTGTCAGACATATGTGAGGATTTGTTGAGGATATTTAAAAATTTATTTTTTTTTTAAACAAAAATTCTTTTCCAGTCTTGAAATAACTTCTTAAATTTTAAGACGTGAACTTACATTGATTGGACATAAATCAGACTTGGTCAACGGCTGTTCAGAGGTAAATAATTATAAATGTATTATTTATTTATTTTTATTTTTTTGAAATTACAGTTTATAAATAGTTAACGTGCTATTTAATATGAGTTATCACTGTATTTCAATAAATATCTTCCATAATGCGCCCATATAACATCGCTTATAGTAGTAATATTCACATCCTTATAGATATTGCCTTGATATATGGAAGTACACAGATAATTTTTTGCGGAACTTTATTTCGCATATTTTTATTATGATATATATTAAGCTCCAAAGCTTGAATCCATGGTATGTTTAAGTCGTTATGGGTCGTTTATTTTTGACGTCTCGGGGTGCACCGGTAATTTTATATTCCATTTCTTGCATTATACCGATATTTCACATATATGGTGAGCTCTATAGCTTGTTTCCATAAATCAATATTAGTTTGATTCATAAATTTTAAAAGTTCCTCCATTGTTCTGAAGGCTAAGTTTCAATTTTCAATTCAAAACCCAATAAAATTGTTGACATGAGGTATTTTTTTTGCTCTCAAAGTTTAAATGGATTATTTCTTTATTTATTTGAGAATCTTTAAAGAAATATTTGATTCATTTTTTGTTTTTTTGGTTAGAACGCCAATAATAAATGTTGAAATTGATAAGGTTCAGTTTTTGACTGGATGGAAAGCAAGCAATCCTACCTACCCCTCTATTGAATTATGGCAGTATCTGATTGTCAAGTGTAGTTGTCAATGTTCGTTTAATGGAATTAAAGCTTCAACATGAATATTTGGATCGCCAATAAAATACTTCTAATATATCTATAAAATTATATATATATATTTGCTGCATAGTTTTGATTTCAATGTTATGGCGTTGATCAGATGTCCGGTTGGTCTCTTTATATGATGACCATAATATTTTTAGAGAAAAATATACTAGTCCAATAAAGGAGTCATCGTTAATTAAAACACCTACTTTGACACAAAAAGATAAATCTTTCTACAAGAGAGATATTGGAATGTTCACTTCTCTAGCAATTTTTATAAAAGAAGTCGAATTTGGTTAGGTGTGTTCTTTTCTGGCTTAACCTTCTAACTTTTTAGCTGTTGAGTTAAGAGTGATAGTTGCCTATCGTGGTTAAACAACTACAAATTTTGCACTGTATTCTAGAGATCTTTTGTTCCCCCTTTATAGATTTCGCACATTTCTGCATATCAAATTTCTTCGATATTTATTCTTCTTTTTTATTTATTGAACTTCATTTATTGAGTTTTATTTATTCATTCGATATAAGACGATTAAAAACGTTCTTACGCTTAAGCAACAATACATGGCAAATTCCAAGTCTGTTAATTTAAGTGTCAACTCTTTCCTTTTGGACCCCTTAGTTAAAATTGAGGATTGAGTTTATTGTTTATTTTGATTAAAGAACACATCATGTGCAAATGTTATTTGACACGTTTTGATCGATTTTTCTCATTTTTCTTGTTTCCCTTAACTTCTATTGGAGCTTCTATTGGACCTCAACAAAACATCTCCATATCGTACGGTTGTGAATTAACTGCTTGATTTCGCCCAAACAACTCTCGAGTACTTTAATTTCTTTTTCTTACATTCCAGGAACCATTTCGGGTACTTTTCTTAAAATCAAAAGCTCTGTAAAGATTGTGAGATTGTGTTGTGGGGGTTTCTGCTATACTGTCGTTGTTATCTGATGAATTCAACCTTCCCAGAACTGTAGGGCTTGTTGCATTTATGGGAGGATTTGGCATTAGCCTGTTACCTCCTGGGATAGATATGTCCACGTTGATTCATCATTAGTATTAAAAATGTTGGTGGGTTTCTTACGATGCTATTAGCATAAAGTAGGAGCTTAGTGAGGCCACGCACCCCTTTTTCGACTAAGCGTGAAAGCAGTATCCTTACTGGAAGTTTGATCCATTAATGTTAATTATAATTTTTTGCTATTTAATAAACTTATTGAATTTAATGCTAATTCTATGTGAATATCTTAAATAATTTAAAATTTGAGTGTTGAAATTTATCTAAAATTTAATTCGATTTACATATTTTTTCATTCGTTGACACAAAACGTTGACAAAACAGTATTTTGCACCCCTCGGAAAAGTTTTCAACAAAATTCTTTGCATATTTTGCATAAATATTTTTAAATATTTTCATATTTTCATAAAATATTTTGTGTTTATTTAGTGCATATGTGGGTGGCGTGTATCTGTGCGTCTGAATCCAGTATTTGCAAATGTTTTGCATATGTTCACACAACTCAGCAAATAAAAATATTTTCTATCTGAAAACCTCTTCCCAGGAGCTTCTGTCATAAAAATGGAGTAAAAAAAATATATAATAAAATGGAGTAAAAATAGATATCAACAATTTTTGTTTGTTGTTCAGCACATATGAGAACAAAATTTCATTTCAAATATAAAAAAAAAAATAAAAGAAAAACAAAGTTAAAAGAGTAAAAGTTTAATAATAGAAAAAAAATAAATGAAATAAAATTATGAATTTTAAAAACTTGAGTTTTCCAGTTCGCATAAATTTGTTAAGTTCTTGTATTTTTGATACAAGATTTTTTTTTTTTTGGGAATTCCAAAAGTTTGCCTCAACGTTTGTTTGCCATTGTGCGCAATGTTTCCGAATTTAATTTGCATAAAATGCAAATGACTCTGAGCTGCCATTTGCGTTTCATCCTTTGCGGTATCATATTTATTAAAAGGATTATTAGTGCTTCACAGCCATATCCTGTTAGCTACTGTTAATGCGGCTGAGGCTGCTGATGCTGATGCTGCTGATTCCAGCGCGCAACTCCAGTTCAGCTTTGGTATTTTTGTGGAGGTTTCCTCCTGCAACTCTTAAAAATGCAAATGAACTTCGTTGCCGCCTTTTATTACATTTGTTTTTTATGAATTCTAAATTGTATTAAAATGGTTGGTACAAAAAAGTGAAGTCGAAATACATTAAAAAACACTGGTTGCGAATGTGTCATGTTACTTTAATCCAAAGCCTCTGGATGTGTGATGAAGTCTTAAGCAGAAAGCTAAAATGCTGTTATTTATATGACTATGATATGAAACAAAAATTAGAAGAACAAATCTATAGAAAGAATAGACATCGAACAGATCAGTTTGTACCACGATACACTCAGAAATATAATCTGATCGATTTGACCAAATTTTAACTAATTCTCAGGTCAAAATATTCTTACTTAACGTATCAAATTGGTTCAACCACACCACATGTTGGTTTTCATATCTTTACCAAATGAACTCAAATTTATCTAACAAAATGATCAGGACAATTTTACTATTATATGGTTAAAGCATATTTTTCTTAGTCTACTCATAAGTATAAAGCTTGTTTGCATAAAACGAAGTCAACCTCTATAAATTTTAAAACTAAAATCTATCATATCTACCGATCTATATATTTGACAACCAAAGGCCATATTGAAATACTGCCAGTACCTTGAAAGGAACCTGGATATTGATATAAAAAAAATCTTATTAAAAATTAAACAAGCAAACCTTAAATGGCTTACAAGTAGAAACTTATTTCTGCCAACTCATTGCAAATGGGTAATAAATAATCAATTTCTGTGACCCGTCTAAAAGTATGGTACGCAGCTTTAGGGCTGAACAAAGGAAACGAATTTAGAAGCTATTCAGACGTTCCAAAGAAAAGTCCTACGATATATAGAAAATGACTTTTGATACATAAGAAATAGCGACCTTCAAAGTACCAACTATTATCACTGAAATAAGGAAACTGACTGAATATCAATCAGGAGAGACTTCGCCAGAACATACTATAATTGAAGAATATTGTCCACTCTTAGTGTAGCCTAGGCCAGAAATAGCAGCCCTCATAGTAATATAATTATATATTACATTACTTTGAGACTATTTGGTGCCCTTCTGATAGTAGGGCTTGCAATACAACATATTTGTTTTGTTAATATTTTGCACCTTTATGAAAGTTGCAAACGAAAGTTTGATAAAAGTGTGCTATATCGAGAAGCATATCCTTATGTAGAGAGCATTTGGGTCCTTTTTTACGAGTGACAAAGGAGTACCATAAACATATGTTAATATATATATATATAATATATATGTCATTGTACAATTTGGTGTCCTTTCCAAAGTTATGCTTAAGGCATGGTATACTATGTATGTTGCCCTCAGCTACACCACTAACCACCTGCTACAGCATCTATGGTCTATTGCAGTATATCAAATTTATTATTTCTTTCTTACAACACAATTGCCACTTAATTTCAAAGTTCAATAATAATGAAGACCACTTAACATCCACTTGTGTTGTTAAGGCAGTTGGTACAACTACCATATCAACCCTATCCCTTTTGTCCTTTACTCAGTTTAACAACAGAAAGCAAATAGAGATCTTCGATGAGATTGAATAAGAAACGCGATAGTTCAACCGCAGCAATGCCATGTAAAGTATCTATAAAAATTATGAAAATCAACGCAATCTTTTGTTAATGTAATTATGGTTGATATATGGTAGTATCTGGTGTATCTGTGATTATTATGATTACAAGTTGTTTCCTTTGCTCGTTTCATTGTTATGTTTTTATTACTGAAATTAGTGATTTTACGGAGTTCAAATTACAAAACAGAAAATAGAGTGAAATGTGGGTTGCTGTAATCAAATATCGAAAAAATATTGGTTTCTCTACTTTGTAGTTGATGTGCCTTGGTAGTCTTGTGTGTTTGGGTTTATGGTTTATTTGTGCTTATGTGGTAACAATATAATCAATTGAAATGTTTTGGCAAATATGTCAAAATAAATTATAGACACACTCAAACACTTATACTGTGTGAATTTATTTTAGGAACGCTTTCGCCCAATGCGTCCAACCGCAGAAACCAAATTTTAATTTGTACCTTGCAAACAGCAGAAACTGCAGCCGGAATAGCATTTTTAATGTCTCTGTGGCAGAATGGTGTTTACAACTGTAACCACACCACCACACATGTTATTTAGAAATTTATTT